ATATAGTGTAGCGTGATTTGGCGGAGCCGAAGAAATGATTTCGAGTTTATCGATTTTTTTTTATCCTTCCTTTTTCTTTTCATTCTTTTTTTGTTTTAAACGATATATGTATATATATGTATGTATGTATATATATATATGTATACGCATTTCAACGTCTCCGCGAGGTTCACTTCCTCTCTCCTTATCCCGCACTTTTTCACCCCTTTCAATCTTCAATCTCTCTCTCTCGCTCTCTCTCTTTCTCTCTCTTTCTCACACAGATACGCTTTCTCTCCCTCACATATTATTCATTTTCTCTTTTTCTTTCTTTTTTTCTTTTCTTTTCTTGTTTATACATTTATTGCTATTGGATTCATTGCATAGTAGTAGTTTCCCCCGTGTGAACTGATATTACTCACTTGTTACTACACTCCTTATTTTTCCTCCATATTTATTTTTTCCCCCCTCTTTTCTCGCTTCATCCTTCCTTCTTGCTCCGTTTATCGTTCCACTTGGTTCGTACGCGTTGAGCGTTTGTTGCCGAAGAGAAGACGTCGAGCGATTTTCGTGTTCGATTTTGTGGTTCGTTTTTTCTTCTTTCTTTTCTTTTTTTTTTTTTTTTTTTGTTTCGACCCTTCGTACAGTGACGACGAGAGGAAGCAGTACTACTTTCGAAAAAAGTAGTTCGTCCCCCAAAAAAACGGAGGAAAGCACGAAGAAGCACCGAAGGAACGAAATTGCAAAATTCTTCTTTCCTGTCCTTTTTCTTTTTCTTTTTTTTTTTCTTTTTTATATTTTTATTTTTGTCCTCCGTTACTTGGAGGCAGGACAATTCCTCTACTGTACCGTGTAACTTCTCCCCCGTGGAGGAACGAGTATTGTTTTATTTCATTGTCCAAGGAATGACAAACGTTTGCGGGAATAATTTCTCGCAAGAAGAGAGCGGTTGAACGAAACGTAATGTAAAGAAACGAGAGAGAGTGGCAAGGGTTGCTACCGGATTGAGCAAGGAATTATCGATCGGTCTATGTTTATAACTCTCATCAAATTTCGATGAGCGTTGAGCACCAAACGTAGATTAAAGCTATCTTAACTATTTAACCTCTTGTCCTTTTATTTGAAGAAAGACCTACTCCTCAACCACTAATCCGCTCGCATCGGTATAACCGGTTATCAATTTAATAATCTGCTCTTTGATAAGTCCGTTCGAAACTTATCGAGGTATACGTTATATAAAGTATATATTACAACTGTATCCTTTGATACACTTCGTATTAATTTATCTCTTTATGCGTAGCGTTAGAAGCGGTCACGAGTTAATGAAATCCTCGAGTGAAACGAGGAGCCTTTTTCTCCGTAACAATAATTTATCGATCGATCGATCGATAAATTGGAAATTGGCGCGAAAAAAAAAAAGAGAAGAAACGCTTATACGAGCTATAACGGGCTATAAATTCCCAGTGTAAGGAGTCGAAATTGAAATTTACCATTTCGAAACACAATCCTCATTACGAATACAATGTTGCCGTATCGAAGCGAGGGAGCAATAAATTCTGCCTAAACGAGCGGCTTCTGCGTTATAAATAAGCCAAGAGGTTAAAAGTTTCCCTACAATGATTTCCCTCCGTGAAATTTGTCTCCTGAAATAAAATATCGTATTGCTATCTGCTCCATGGAAAATGTAATTCTTCAGAAGTCTTTGAAGCTCTTTACCCCCCTCTCCACGACGTTCAAAGAACTATCTTCCAGAAGGATCTTTCGCGAAAACTGTGTCGCAGCGTAGCCATAGCGTTTTCGCGTCAGGAAAGATTAAAAATATTTTCTCCTTTTTTTCCCCTTTTTATTCTCTTTCTCCTCTTTTTTTTCTCTCTCTCTCGGTAGTCTCTTTGATCACGAGGGAAATTATGAGATGCGTTTCAGCGATTTTCGCGGAATCGAACCTTTAAACGTCCCTTCTCCCCCTCCCCCGTGTTTATTCGTCGAATTTCAAAAACGGTAACGCAGTTTGCGGTATCAATTAATGTAATTCGCCCCGATATTAATGACGCGTCGCTGTGTATTCGCGACGATTATCCCCGAATAATTAATCGAAACGCGAAAATAATAACCGATGAAGCTCGACGAATTGGCGCGCGTAAGCCTCGACGAGTTGGTGGAAAGAAAATTAATAATCTTTACGAACGAACGAAACGAACTTTTCGAACTTTTATCAATTCGAATGAAAGAAAGCGTCGATCGAAAAATTCGATCGATCGATAATATTGTATTTCGTCACCACGGTTCAGATTCATCCGTGGGGAATGTTTTCGTTGGGAATAGAAGAAGGCATCGTAATTAGCAGCATAGTAGCATGGTATCATGGAGGCAGTAATGTGATAGTTTTAGCGTTATTCTCTTCCATTTTCTTCCCTTCGATCTATCATTTTGAAAATTTAAAATTTCAACAGATGGGACGCACATTGTTGAAAATAAATCGTTTCAATTCCAGATATTCGATTGATCGATCTTCTCCTCAAAAGAGTCAAACTATTTGCCACCTCGACGAACGAAAGTTCTTACTCGTGTCTTTTTTCTTTTCTTTTTTTTTTTCTTCAAATATTTTTCCCCTTCTCGAAACTCAATCACGTTAAATTTAGTCGGTTTGCTGTTGTTCTGTCTCGCGCGCTTCTCTCCCCATTTTAATAAACGATAATTAGGCAGAATCAGAGGCTGAGGATCAGACATACTTAATCTTAGCAACACAACTGCCTCGTTAATGCGAATTTGCTTGCTTTGCCTCGAGAATCTGATCGACGCTGAATTATAAGGATTTATCCATGTGGATGCAATGAAATTGATACGAAAAGAGGTAGTAGAAGGAAGAAGTTTAAGAATCCAGTTTCCAAACGTTCAAAAATAAAAATAAGCGAAAGTGAAATTTATCTTGCTAAATTATCTCATAGTTTAAGTACGCTAGATCTAAAGTATAAGTTTTCAAAACATTCGTAACATAAGTTTAAACATAAAATATTCAATACTTTCCGAAAAAAGAAAAAAATAAGAAAACTCATAATTTGATTAACCAATATAATTGAATCGATTAAATAAAGATCAAAATTTGCTTCAACCGAAGAATTTTTTAAATCAAAATCTTTACAAACAATATTCTTCAAAAAAAAAAATCTATTTGTAACGTAATTTACTTTAACACTCGATTAAATCATTTTAAAATTAAGAAAATTTTGAACCGCTGTTACTTCGAAGATAATGATTTCCGATCAATAAGCGAGGAACCGTTAGAAGCGCGAAACTTTGCCCTTTAAAACGCTTTTTGATTTATCTCGATACGACTTTTAGTTTTCAAAATATCATCATGTAAAGAAAAGGCAATTTTTAACCATTTATCTTCATCCCCAAACCTTATTGAAATTAGGAATAATTTAAACCTCCGTAACTTTGAAAATAGTGACTTCCGGTCGATGAGCGAACGACCGTTAGAAGCGCAAATCTTTCCTCTTTAAAACACTTTTTCATTTATCCCTGTACGACTTTTGGTTCCCGAGATATCGTCGTGTAAAGAGAAGAATAATTTTTAATCGTTTACGATCTTCATTCTTGTCGCTTACTCGGACCTCTCGCTCGCACCTCGTCTCACCGACCTATCCCAAACTCCAGACAAACGACAGACGCGATTCCTGGAAAAACGCAGTAAAGTATTTCCAAGAAAAAATGTGGGTCATTTAAAACTTTCGCACCATATTAAGCGCTATGGTGAAACTTTGAGCCCTTATATCTCGATAACCGATTGAGATATCGGAATAAATCAAAAAGCGACTTCAATGGTATGTTTTCCCCTATTTCTTAAACGAATTTTGACGACAAAATTTTTACTTCTTCTCACGTTTTTTTTTATACGAAAAATCGAAATCTTACTAATGACTTTAATAACGACATATCTTTTTTCGTCGTGATTATGAATATATGATTATGAATATTAATCGAACTTTTAAACACGTTTTTAAACTATAAAAATCCAAAGCTTTATGATTAATCATTAGATCTGCGAAGCGTGTAATTTTGCAACATAGAAATAAATTTCAATGTAGACGAAAGAGTGGTAAGAAGAAAAAAAAAAAAGAAAGAAAAAAAAGAAGAGAATTAAATTATTAGAAAAATTGAAATTGATAGATGATTCAATATGCAATTATCGATTAATTTTCGTTGAATTCGAGATGAATGTATGTTTTCACGGTAAATGTTAAAATTTGATGCACCTGTCGGTGCATTATTAAACGAAGGCAGATGGAATTAAATGTAAATCAAATGAGGTTACCTTAACACGGATCTATGATGTGTCGTTTACAAAATTGATCAAAATTAGTATCGGGATCGCGGTTTTCAATTTTGTAATTAATGAATAACGAGCCCGCTATGCGGTGGAAGTTTGAAACGTTGCCAGGACTGTTCCCCGATTCTACCAGGTTCTTGTAGCAGCTTTCCAATTCAATTTAGAAGATAGCATTAATTAACGTGTGATAAAATAGGTTTTGGGTGGACGAGATGATATTTATTATGGAATGTATAATGACATTTTGCTTGATAAATTGCGTTCCACCCCTTCGTTATTAACACTCGCTCTTTCGAAACTGATTAATTATGATTTCTCAAAAAGCATAACATTCGAACGAACTCGTTCGAGATACGCAATTCCTCTAATCAAAAGTAAACTGCCGTTACGATCATTTATCCTCTCCGAGAGCATCTCTTTTTCCACATTTCCCCCCCAATTCTATTATCGAGAAGCTTAAAAATATTTCTCCACGATCAATAAACAGAATTCCAACTCGATTCAAAGATTCAACCATAACCCCGCCTGCCAAAATGAGAGATAAATTCAGTCCGAGATCCGACAAGACGAAAGACACAGCAAGACGCGATATCCATATTCACAAAAAGTCGACCGAAAAATGGAAAAAAGAATTGTAAAAAGCAACGATGAACAACCATCAATGAGATCCACTTCCAACGAAGATCGAAAAGAATGATGTCGATCAACGATTCTCGTCGAACGAACCGAATTCGAGGACGAAGAAGTCGCGAAGAACGACGGTCTAACCGAGTCTACTTCCTCTCCAACACGTATATATCATCATCCACCCGTCGAGATTGCTCGATAATTTCAATTTCACGCGTTAACCGTTGCAACCCCCTCGGCCCGTGACCTCGTTTTCGCGGCACCGTTCTGCGTGTACGTACTCGAGGGGGGGAGTCGAACAATGCGGCGCCACTCGAAACGTACAAAAGGTGGGGAGGGTAGAGCAGCGTGACCGCCCTTAGCCCTCGAGAGGAGGACAGGGGGGAAGGGAGTCGCGGCAAGGAAAACAAAAGGAGGAGTCGCATCGATCACGAGAAAGTCGCTCGCTTCAAAAGCGGAGGGGTGCTCGCTCGTTCGAGGGCCGCGGATGAGAATGGGGGAGGGTGTCTTCGAGGTGTCTTCGTTCCAGGATGCTGGAGGAATCTCGAGAATTTGGAATATGGCGGCCGTTCAACCGTAATCTTGGAGAAGATTGTTTCTTCTTTTGCCTGTTTTTCTTTCCTCTGCTTTCTCTTCTTCCACGAGTACAACGAGCGTGCGATTAAAAATTCAAGATTGCGCGAGCGAGATCTTCGTTGGGTGGAAAAGATAGGGATGTGTAGTAGGGGAGGGAGTGAAGATGAGCGTGTGATAATGAAATTTGGAAATTTCACGCGAAGCGTCATCGAAGTTTTTGAACGAAGAATTGTTTCGTTTAACGACTATCAATTTTTTCCTATTCCTCCACGTAAAATCTTCAACGCGTTGTTTTCTCTTTTTTTTCTTTTTTCCTTTTTATTAAATACATTTTACATTTCTCTACAAGTAGATATTCAAAGCACGTGTCGCTTTTTCCAAAAATATTAATCATCTCTTCGTCTAATGTATCAGCACCCTTTTTTCAATTGCCTTATATCACTACGATAAACACCTATAAACTAACCTTCATTCTTCCATCTTCAAATCAATGAAACCCCCTTGTCCCTCCCCCCCCCAAAATCCCGAAAGAAACATCTTAGCTTCTCCTCTTAGTTTCGATTTCCAACGAAATACGTTTCCTTCGTCTTCGTCCGTAATCCTATTCTAACTTTCACTTAACTGCAAAGCAAGCACAAGAGGCAAAGAATAAAAAGGAAGAAAGCAAAAAAGAGAGAGAGAGAGAGAGAGAAAGTTGGATCAACCACGAGGGGGGATCTCTTCGTTCGAAGGGAAACGACTTTTCATAGCCGTTTGGAGGACGATCCTCCAAGAGTCCCGAGCGAGATCGTTTTCTCGTCGAAGGGAAATCGGTTCGATCCTCGCGAGACTCGAGTTTCAACGGCCCCTCGAGCGGCCATCCCGGATGAACTTTCGATACGAACCAAAACCGATATTTCAATATTGCCGATTCGGCGAGTACGAGGCGGAAACAGTGGCGTGAATCGTTCGATCGAAATCGGTTCGAAAATACTTTGGATCGGCCACGATAAACGCGGTGAACATTGTGAATTTAATTATCGCGACAAACGCGACAAATGATCCCTGAATAATCGCTGGAAACGTATTTTTATCTTTGGCCAATGATCGGATCGATCGGCTACCAACCCTTATCGCATATAATATTAATTTCCGCGCGAGAAAATATCGCATCTCTTCGTTTCGTTCGATTTGCCATAACTCGACTCGAAATAAAAATTAAATAAAAAAAAAAAGAAAAAGAAATGTCAAATTCGATCGAAACATTAGCCGTTACGATTATATACGAATTGAAAATAGCGCAAAAAAAAAAAAAAAAAGAAAAGAAAAACCGAGCGAGATGATCCGCGTTGTTGAAAAATATGGTTAATCGTCTCGTTCCTCGACGAGACGAGAAAAAGGAAAACAAGAAAGAATTGCGAGATCACAATCGCGATCACGCGTGACCAAATGCACATACTGCAAGAATTTTCACGGCCTTGTATATTCTCTAAACTCGCTTTTCTACGTGCAATCGTAACTCTATACGGCTTCGCCTATGCGTTTTGCGATAAAAGTACTGTACGTAAGTATGCTTATGCCACTTATTTCTTGCCTGTCTCCTCGCGTTACGTGTGTCCTCGGTTCGTGTATGCGTGCATGCGTGCGTGCCTGTCTGTTGGTGCAAGTGTGTGCAGCCACACGTGTGCGAGCACGCGCGTGCACATCTCCGCTACGAGCGCGTGTATATCGGTGTGTTCGCGCGTGTTCTTTTTTTTTTTTTCTTTTTCTTT